CAATGCCTATTTCTTCTTGATTATCTGTTTCTGAGAATTAATTTGCTTTAAATTGTGGCTGTAATCTTCGATTTCTATGTGGATTAGGCCTTAGGGTCCTAACCGTGAAGTGAAGCTCTGTTGTTCTGTAAATTTGGGATTAGGATTTAGGGCAATATTTCAACCTTAAGCTGCATTTGAGCCCATTTCTTCTACTGTTATATTTTCCTTTTATTGATTTCCTACTTTACAATTTATGTTGCTAATATTCTGATAGGTGCTGTTGTTTCTTCATTTGATATTCATAGAAATGGAAGAATTCATGGCAGATGTTTTTCAATGTCAAATGGCATGCTATGCTGTCCATGACTCTCGGATAGCTTCCATGATCTTGACAATGGATGGACTTCTTCTCGCGACTGCCAGCATAAGAGGCACTTGACAAAAAACTTCAACACAATAGATGGAACTCAGTTACATGAGATATGTCACTAGCTTTATTTCCTGGAGCAAGTCCTTTCAAGTTTGTGAGTTGCCAATAGAAAGCATTTTAAAAAAAAAATTGAAGTGAAAGGAATTAGCTCAGACCATTGGTTTTTACAGTTCATCATAATATCATTTTTGAGAACAAAACCATAATTTATATGGATTGAAGATCTTGTGTTACTTTTGGAACCATAATTTATGTGGTTTGAAGATCTTGTGTTGCTTTTTGGACAATATATAGAGTTACTAGCTATTTTTGTGATCACCTTTTGTCTCTTGCATTTCTCTTACGGTGGAAAGAAAAATTAAATATTAATAAACGACGTCACTCTTACAATCGCTGATTGTCGACGTTGACCGTTGGAGTTGACCGGTCAACGTCCGCTCGGGCTAGGATGGCGGGCTGGGTCCGTCCCTGTTTCTTAGTATCATTATTCTGCACTTTTAAATGCTATGCATATTAGATGCCACACTATTAGCCATGTGGGGTGGTTGTGCCTGGTTGTAGACAACGTGGGATGTTGCAAAGTCTGTCTCGGTTGGCAATGCACATTCTCGACGGACGAGGATGATGGACTGTCCTGATAAGTAGACCGTTAGACAAGGCCAAGCTAGGGTTTGCGGGCTTGGTCGTTTTCTCCACTCTGCATGAGCCAGCTCATGGGCTTTTTTTCCCCAATAATTAATCGAAGAACAAATGAAAATGCAATTAAGATCGCACTCCATCCGTGAGATCGTTGGCTGTTTTGGGCCTCAAATTCTTCTCAAGGGTCAAACCGACATAGCTTGTATAAAATGTGACTCGTGTCCGGCATTTGAGTTGGCTGCGTGGAACCCCTACAAGGAAGGTTGGCCTAGTCCAACGACCTCTAATTTGTAATTGAGCTTAATACCTTAACTCAGTATATGCAACGTAATATTGAACAATACTACTATATAATGATAAATACAAAATTTTGACTTAATTTTTTTCTTCTTCAATCAAGTCTAGCATGAATTTGATTGATTTTGACTGTATCAGACATTTTATTTGATGGAGCAAGAAGAAAATAAGAGAAAATATTGATCAAAATAAATATTGAGCACTTGTTCTCTAGAGAAAACTAAATTGAATAAATTATATTCCGATAACATACATTTCACGTACATAAAATTGGACAAAATTTTGACTTGACAAAATCAAATATGTAAGGTAGAAATGAGAAATGCATATATATATATATATATATATCAATTCGATTGATGCAAGAGCTTGACTTTTTTCACTTAATATAAAAATGTCCATTACGAGTGTTAATAGTTTTGACACTCATCTCTCTAGATACAACGGTCACATCCTTCAATAACACACCAAATTATGTAAACTGGCGAACTTATTGATGTTTTGAACTCTTTTAATATAAACCCGACTCAAAATAAAGGCAAAAAATATTTTGAAGTGAATATGTATTATCATATAATGCAATAATGAAGTGAATAAATGAAAATTCTAAACACAACGGATCTATATAGTTGTTGGAAAGTTGTGTCTCAAAAGACATAACCTATAAAAGAGACATAACTATTGAAATTTGTCTCTATATAAAGATACATCTATTGAAAAATAATAATTTCAAAAGTCACGATCTTTCATACGGAGAGGCATATCAAAACAATCCGTCCAACAAAATGTTTGCAGCAGCAACTTCTAAACAAACCTAATGCAACTTGATCATAATTTCATTATAGCTCCATTCCACATCAGCATTTAGGTTACATAATTGTTGTAGGCCTATTGAAAAGCAGCAAAAGCACTGAAGGATGGGGGAAAAGTCAAAAAGGAATAAGGTGGGCAGGGGCAGAGCCCATTAAGGTCAGTGCAAGCAGGCATAAGTGCTTGCACTGAAATTTTGGGTCCAACACAAATACCCAATAAATTTTGTAGAACTTACATAAATATTCCTAAAATTAGAAGTCTTTTAAAAAATCATATGAAAAGTATTTTGGAAGTAAAAAATATTTGGTAAAAAATTAAGGCCCTGTTCTCTTTGTCGTTTTCGGGTCGTTTTCTGTTTTCCAAAATAGTGAAAACGTGTTCTCTTCCCTATTTTCGAAAACGCATTTTTGAAAACAAAAAAAAAAAAAATTGTACTAAAAAAGCCAAAACAAGGAAAAACTCGTTTTGGACGTTTTCAGTGTTTTGCACGGTAAAAA